GACACATGCATGCACGCTTCTATCTTCTGCGAAAGGAAAGAAAAGTGGACAGCACAGGGAAGGCCCTGCAGCCCACAGGCCAGAGCTGACCAGGAGCGGGAGATCACAGAGGTGAGTATGGAGGGCAGAAATGCTGCCCTGAGGACCACGGTCCAGTCTCAAGGCATACATGGGACAAGTTGGAGTGGTCAGGGTTTCTCCAGGCTGCAGACCCTCCAACCTTCCCCGCTGGTAGAAATGGGAAGGCCAGGCCTCCCCAGGGAAGCCTCCCAGTTAGCATGGAGGCCCATGGCTGCCGGCCACCTTTCCTCACCAGGATGGTGCTTGGAGCACCTGGAACCCAAAGCCAGGGACTTGGGACCCACTCCCTGGCCTGCTCTCTGCTTACCTTTAACCTATCTGAGCCTCGGTCTTCTCCTCCATGAAGAAGAGTCCCTAATAAAAATAATACCTGTACATGGGTGACGGGAAAGACCAGCGAAATCATGTGTCCTAGAGAGCTCTGTCATTTACCACAGCCACCTGCCTGCCTACGGTTACGTGACTGTCCACAGTCACCCAACTGTCTGCAGCCACAAGACTGTCTACAGCTACATGACTGTCCATGGCCACCTGTCTGCCCAAAGCCACCTGACTGTCTGCAACCACACAACTTCCCACAGCCATATGACAACTGTCCAGTCACCTGACTGTCCACAGTCACCCACTTGCCTTACTCTCCTGGCACTGCCACCACACAGAGCAAGGACATGACATCTCTGTGCTGGTGACCCCACCTGTCAGTACAACCACAAAGCTGCTCAGTCCCTGAAAGCATCACTGCAGCCTCTGGGCCTTTGCACAGCTGTTGCCTTGGCCTGGAAGGAGCCGACCTTCACCTGACCTTTACCCTCACCCCCTGGCCTCAGGGTTCCCACCCCTGGCCATCCTTCCTCTCAGCTTGCACCTTCTGGAGGGCAGTACAGGTCACCTGCATGCCCACCTCACCTGCTCTTCCCCTTTGCACATGTCTCCCTATATGCAGAGACTGTGGGGGCAGACATACACTGGCCTGTCCCCACGAGCAGCAGCAATATTTAGGGAGCACCTGGAGTGGACCCACGTCCAGGGGAAAGAGTCCTGGCCCTGAGTCACGTCTGAATCCCCAGCACTTGGCGCCAGGGGCTCTGTGAGTCTGTAGAGTTTGCTAAATGAGTATTTCTGCAGGGAGGCGGTCACGCTGTCATGGGCAGCTGCGGGCATGCCTGGAAGGTTCCTTTCCAAGAAGCAGGCCGCAATCTGGGCTGTGGATACGTCTGCCCGATCCCACCCAGCCTGCTGAACCCCGCTTCTCCCAGCTGCTTTAGGGAAGTGTGTGGCTGGCTCCAGGTTAGACCTGAAAGGACCTCGGAAACTCTTCCTACGGGCCTTGTGAACAGACAGGGAAGGCATTCGTGATGAATGGCCGCCTTTGGCTGTGTCTCCAGAGCCAGCCGCCCTGTCGACTCTGCCACGACCAGGTGCCGCTGAGCCATGGTTTCCCTAACAAGCATGTTTTTTAAATACTGAAACTTAAATATTAGGGATGGCGGGTGGTTCAAGTGGTAGAGTGTCTGTCTAGCAAGTGCAAAGCCCTGAGTTCAAATCCCAGTACCATCTCATCAAAAAACCTCTAAATAATGCACGAAAACACAAGCAACAATAAAAAAAAATCTGTGTATCTTAGAAACCCCAAAAAAGACACCTCAGTGACAAGAGTGTTGTATCTAGAATACACAAGGGCCTCTTTACCACTCAGTAACAATAGAACAAATAGCTTGACTGAAACCGAGGGCACCAGCTCAGACAGACATGTCCACAAAGGAGAAGTGCCACCGGGAGACGAGCTCACGCACTGCTCGACGTCATTACTCACCCAGGGTGCCACGTCACACTCACGAGCACAGACGTAATCAGAAACACGTAACAACATGCGTTCGCAGAGACGTGCAAAAGTCAGAGCCATGCTTTGCTGGTGGGATTACAAAATGGCACAGCCACCATGGAAGGCAGACATACAGGTGAACAGCTTCCATGAGACCCAGAGACCCCCAGGACACAGATCCAAGAGACCTGAAAACACGTGTTCACCAAAGCTCACACGTGAATGTTCAAAGCAGTATTAATGGTTATGGACAAACAGTAATAGCAACCCAAATGCCCATCAGCAGAACAAGAAGTGGCAGTCCCCACCCATACAGTGGAATATTACTCAGCAATGAATATGAATGAAGCAACCAACACACGCTACAGTGCTGAGGAACTGTGTGAACTTAATGTCACGTGAAACAAGCCCAAACATGTGGTGTGGTTCCACGCCTGTGAAAACCCAGAATAAGCAAACTCGTACCTAGGCAAAAGGGAGGTGAATGGTTGTCAGGTGCTGGAAGGGAGGGACTGAGCAACTTTCACAATACTAAACTTTAAGTGGGTGACTGACTCAGCTGACTTTGAGGGGGTGAATTATAGTGAGTACATTCTAGTTCAATACAGCTGTTTTTAAAAGAAGTTTAACCCCAGAGCAAAAACACCTAGAAGCTCGTGAGTTACAGTGCTGGTTGTGTTTTTCTTTTGGATTTTTGAGACAGGCTGGCTACGTAAATCCTCCTGCCTCAGCTTCCTAGTGCTGGGATTACAGGCATGCACCACCATACCTGGCAGGTTGTGTGTGACCACCGACATCTCAGATGGTCTCCCTTCTGCCACTTTGTGTTGCCACCACCGGCTGCCCCTCAGGACCCTTTCCACTCACACCCGTTAAGATCCCAAAGGAGAGCTAGGTGCAATAGCTCACTGCTGTAATCCTAGCTATTGGGGAGGCAGATCAGGAGGATTGCAGATTAGAGACTGGGAGGATCGAGGCTCTAGACCAGCCTAAGCAAAAGGTCAGCAAGATCTCATCTCAATCCGGGCACAGTCCCAGATACAATGGAGGTCTGAGGCTAGACCTAGGCAAAATTGCAAGACCCCATCTGAAAAGTAACTAAAGAAAAAAAGGTCTGGGAGTATGGCTCAAGTGAGAGCTCCTGCCCAGCAAGCACCAGGTCCTGAGTTCAAACCCCAATATTGCAAAAAGAGAAAAAAAAAATCCCCGTGGAACAATCCTGAATCCATCTAATTAGTTCACCATTCTGTACTGAGGACCCAGGGGGCTAGTCCCTTCCTAAAGAGAACTGTCAAATGTGAATTCTAATTTCCTGATTCACGGTTATAAACCACAGCTGTTTTGTATTCAAACCACATCCACCAGGGAGCACAAACCCTGCAGGAAGCAGCCCCAGGTTCTGGGCCCAGCCTGAGGTCACTGGGGTCATCAGCTGTGGTAACGTGACCACAGTCAGTGGCAGATTTGGCCTGGGTCAGTCGGGGGGTGGGGGGTCCCGGGTGTCCAGAATGCTTGGCCCCGACCCAGGGGAAGCAACTGGGGGATGGTCCAGGTGGTGTGCAGCGCACAGGTCTTTGGTGTGGGCACACTTGTGCCCCACACCCTATCCATACTTTTATTTTGGGTGGGGGGTAGCAGGGACTGAACCCAGGGCCTTGAGATGGCTAGGCAGGCGTTCTACCCCAGGCCTTGAACACATCCTTTATCTTTATGGACCTCAGTTTTCCCAGCTTCCACAGCTGCTGCAGGATCTCAATCCTGTTTCTGTAGTCATGTCCCTCCTAGCCTGGCCTCCACCTCCAATAGTCCCAGGAGGACCCCACCCCAACCCTAGCCCCAGCTCCCCTCTAGATGCATAGGTCACAAGGGTCGGGGGGCAAAGCCAGGCTGGCCGTCCACACTGCTCCTATCAGGGACAGACCCCCTGGGAATCTGGGGAGGGCACTGTCCCTTCTTTGAGTCCAGCCAGGACACCTAGGAATGACAAGAGGACCTTCAGTGCTTCTAGACTAGTTACTGACACTTTGCAAATTTGCAGATTAAGTCGGGTGCTGGTGCTCACACCTGTAATCCTAGCTACTCAGAAGGCAGAGATCAGGAGGATCGCAGTTCAAAGCCAGCCCAGGTAAAATAGTTCCACAAGACCCCATCTCAAAAAAACCCATCATGACAAAGGGCTGGTGGAGTGGCTCAAGATGTAAGCCCTGAGTTCAAGCCCCAGTACCACACACACAAACACACACACACACAATTGGAGATTAAACAGGCAAAAAACCCAAACAAGCCATATTTTGAGCTTATCTTGAAAATTAAAATTCAAGCCAAATGGCTGAGACCTGGAGAGCCTACAGACAGCGGCCCTCCTACAGGACCCCACCCTGCAGTGTGCCACAGTCCCCACCTGGCCCAGCCACCTCACTTCCACACCTTGCTGTCCTCGTGGGACTTGGGTTTGCAAACCATGCTTTAAACAGCAATGTCTCTCCTGCCAGGATAAATACAGTCTTGGTTGGAACCAACAGAGACTCAGAACAACCTCAGGTCACATGGGGTGTCCACACCCATGGTGACCACAGTGGACGTCACAGACCCCAGAAGCATGTGCTGCAATCCCTGGGGGGTTGTGTGCCATACAGTACTCCTGTATGGACACTGTTGACGCAGGGCAGGCTGTGGGCAGAGGACAAACTGCAGCCGTCACTCATCTCACGATGGCCTTTCAGGGTGTTTGGGCCTCATCATCAGTCACTGCATCTGGATGCCATGAAGTTGGGGCAGCAGGCAGAGTGTGACACAGAGACCATGCCGCCTACAGAGGCCCAGCAACTGCAGCCCCTGGGCCCACCGGCCAGTGCATCCCCTCCCCAGAGTGTCCGCACACCCAGACCCTACAACACTCCACCTGACCGGGGAAGATGGATAGGATGTTCTTGGGTGTATAATGTGGGTAAGGAGACAGGGCCCTGGAGCAGGTCAGTCTGGCTGCCCGTCCAGCCACCGCCCACAGCTCAGCCCTCTTGGGGGCAATGCTGCCTTTTCCTCCTGGGCTTCTGTCTGTGCTGCGCCCCTCCTCGCCCCCATCCAGCGTCCCACTTACTTCATGGGTTTGAACAGTGCCTGCCCATAGTTCTGGAACGTCATGATGAGCTTCAGCTGTGTGCCCCCCGACTTCATGGCTGCAGGAAGAGAGAGAGAGAAACAGGTCACCTGTGGCCTCAGGCGCCCCCCAGGGAGCAGGGCCAGCTCCTGGTTCTACCCACTGGGCAGCAGGGTCCTCTGGTTGCAACCAAAGGGTCCCCATCCTGCTTATGAAGTTTGGGTTTTGGCAACGGCACTCTCCCAGCTGGGACAAGCTGCAGGGTGGACCCACAGGCAGATGCCTGGGCAGGTGTACCTACCTGCCAGCCAGGTGTGCGCACATGCATGCACGCATGCATACATGAGCACACCCCCTCACACCCTGCAGCAGAGGGGGTCCCGGTGTCCACAGTGCCTGGACCTGACCCAGGGGGATGCAGCAAGAGGGAGATGGTGATGCCCACATGATAGGACACCTTCCCACCTTCCTGACGGGACCACAGGCCTCTTAGGGTGTGGACAGTCGACCCTTAAGCAAGCCGCTAAAGTGTCTATCCTCCAGGCTGCTTCCTCTGGAAACACGGACACCATGGGGTTTAACCGTGATGCACAGACAGGCACAGAGCCCCGGGTACCTCTCAGGAGGAGGATGCATGTGTGCATCCTCATCGGTGCTTCCTAAGTTTCTACAGCGAACATTGCCACGTTTTTGGTAAGACAAAAATAGAAGAAGAGGTGACGATTAATAAATTAGTGGCCCTATTAGTACCGGAGTCTCTGGATTTAATTATTTCTCCCTAAGCTGGTCCAGCACATTAGCTCTTTCCAGGAATTTTAATTCTGGTTTTTAGATAACAAATGCAAATCTGGTCTGCTTAATCATTTATTTATTTATTTATTGGCAGTATTGGGGTTTGAACTCAGGGCCTTGTACTTGCTAGGAAGGCACTCTACCACTTGAGTCACCCCTCCAACCCTTTTTTGCTTCAGTCATTTTCAGGTAGCATCTGGGAGTTTTTGCCTAGGCTGGCCTGGCACCACGGCCCTCCTACCTACACTTTCTATGTAGCTGGGATCACAGAGGACATCACCATGCCCAGATTACTGAGATGGGGTCTCGATAACCTTTTGGCCAGGCTGGCTTTGAACCACAACCCTCCTAATCTCTGCCTTCTGCCTCCCAAGTAGCTGGGATTTACAGGCACGAACCACCGTTCCCAGCACTTTTATCATTTTTTTTTTTTTTTTGGTGGGGATTGAGGTTTGAATTCAAGACTTTGTGCTTGTAAAGCAGGTGGTCTACTGCTTGAACCACACCTCCAGTCCATTTTGTGCTGGTTATTTTGGAGATGGGGTCTCATGAACTATTGCCTGGAATGGCCTCCAACTGTGATCCTCCAAATCCCAGCCTCCCAAGTAGCTGGGATTACAGGCGTGAGCCACTGGTGCCTGGCTAGTTTAATCATTCTTGTTCTAGGCGAATCCTCATGTTTTCCCTGACCCCATAGATAACTAGGGGGCAAACAACTGATTGAGAAATAAAGGGTACAACGCCTCACAGTGCCTATGGGCTCCAGGACTGTGAGGCTTTGTCTTGACTGGGTTCACCACACAGCCCTCAAAGTTCTCTGCAGCTGAAATGGGAGATTCTGTTCTGAGCTGAGACCCCACAAGAACCAATGACACACAGACTTCCTGGTGTCACAGCAGAGGCTAAAGGAGTCCATCTGGGTAGTGAAAGATGTGGACACTGCACCAGCCTGTGAGCTAAATGGACCACCCCACTGTGTGCCCAGGCAGGAGGGGCCAGCAGGGGTCACAAGTTCAGGTTTTCCTACTGAAGATAGGAAGGTGGTGAGTAGGGAGAGTGGTGGTTCTGGGGGAAACTGGAGTCCAGGCCCCCGGCAACACACCAGCTGTGCATTCTGGTGGAGACACAGAACCCCTCATGGGCTGGGTGCCAGTGGCTCACACCTGTAATCCCAGCTACTCAGGAGGCTGAGATCAGGAGGATCACAGTTCAAAGACCAGCCCAGGGCAATAGTTTTCAAGACCTTATCTTGAAAAAAAAACCCATCACAAAAAAAATAAATAAATAAAGGTTGGTGGAGTGGCTCAAGGAGTAAGAGTGCCTGCCTAGCAAGTGTGAGTCGCTGAGTTCAAATCCCAGTGCTACCAAAAAAAAAAAAAACCAAAAAGACCCTCCACTTTGTGCCCACTGACCTTGTGCCCATGGAAAAAGGTATGGTGTTCATCCACTTGTCTGTCAGTGGTGGACGCCCCAGGGTGGCACCTGCTCTGACGTGAGGGGCTGGAAGAGGCTGAGCAGAGCTGCCACCTGCTCCACTGTCCAGACCTCAGCGTACACCGGGCTGCTTCTGCCCATCTGCCCCCAGCCTGGTGCTCTTTATATCACATTGTCTACCAAGCAGCTCACTTTTGTTTCCAGAGTCACAGCCACCAGGAACTGCAGCTCCGCCCTGGTGGAGACATGTCAGCCTGAGGCAGGAAGAAGTCAGTGAGGTGTCAATACCCTCCTACAGATTCAGGGCTATGTAGAGAAGATGTGCCCGGGTGACCCTGAGTCCTCACGGCAGGTGGACCTGACCTCTGGCTCCTGACCTCTTGGGGGCTGTCCTGTTGACAACACCCTACAACCGGCCTTCAAAGGGGTCCTTATCCTTTCTGGAGGGGACTTGGGCCCTGTAGGGCTGGGCTCTCGTATGTCCAGCACTTAGGTCTCTCTCTCCTGTCCGAGCCAGGCCCTGGGACCCACAGTGGGAGTGACCGCCTGGGATAGGAGGTGCCTGTAGCCTTGCTGGGACTGGCACTGTCCCCTCCATCTGTTGAGACAGGGCACCCACGGGCAGAGCCTCCTGGGGCTGCCCCCCAAGGGCGTGCTGTTCCTCAAAGCTTCCTGGCCAATTATCCTAGGTTCCAGCCAGGCTCGTTCTTCCTCTTGGCAGATCAATTAGCTCGGAGGACTTCCTTCCTGGGGAGCCCTTTTCTTTTGTTCAGCTGCGTTTTCCTAGACATTGGCTTTGTCCTGCTCTGGACAGAGGAGCTGTGAAGCCTGCTCCTTGGGCCACAGGCTCAAGTAGTATGATCCTCACATACTACAGTGACTTCTTCTTCTTTTTCAAAGTCAATTGTATCATTTATTCTTTGCATCCATAATTGTGCATGATAGCCATTTAATTATCACCGGCTCAAGCCAAAGGCACTGTGGCCTGGCTTCACGCTGAGCAGAGGTGGGTAATGTGCGGAACCTCTGTAAGCAGAGGCCGGTTACCAGGCAGCCAGTGGCCTGGCTATAAATAAATCTCTGTTGGCCGCAGCCAGCTGTGCTGTAGGCCACACAGAGCCTCATGAATTGGATCGAGTGGTTCTGAACAGGGACGATTTAATGGGACCATTCTGAGAGAGAGAAAGGCAGGACTCAGAATCTCTTGGGCATGGCTCTACATTACAATAATATTTCTGGGATTGTGTTTAATACTGAGATGGATAACTTCAAGATTAAATGAACCACCGGGGGACCCGACAGAATCTGGAGAAGAAAGGAAGTGCTGTCCTTGGCAAGCCCACCTCTCCCCGGGCCTCGGCGTCCCCAGTTGTGCAGATCTGGCCTCCCAAGGCTCTTCCCTGCCCTGGGTCACAGCAGTGCCAGCCCAGGGTGCCATGAGCTGGCAGCCACCTCCAGGAATGTGTGTGTTCTCAAGGGACACTGTGGCGTGGTCAGGGCCATCCTGCAGAGCAGGAAGATTGCCTGGACACCCAGAGCTCTGTGAGGGCTGCCTGCCTCCTCAAGAGGAGGGGTGTGAGTTCACACCTAGGGACTGTGGGCCAGGGGCAGCAGGGTCAGGTGAGGGCTTGGGAACACTCAGATGCCTGCCCAGCCCTGGCTCCCCGGGTGAGGAGGCTTGGCCTGACACATGCAGACCCGCAGAGTTGCCTGTCTCTGCTCACATCCCTCACTTGTATTTATTCACTGAAGGGTCTGAGCAGCTGTCACAGAGCCACCTTTTCAAACCCTCTGGGACAGTGGGGTGTGGGGGTTCAGGGGAAGTGCTCAAAGTGCAGTCACACCCCATGCACATGCCCAGCCTAGCAGTGGGGGCAGAGCCCAAAACCAACCCTCTGATCCCTCAGAGACCGAGTGCTGCTCGACTCTGGGAGAAAGCCTGTTTTTACAACTACCTCAATATTTCAGATTCTGCCCAGATAAGTCCAGGTCGGGGCAGGTCTGGTTATTGTCTGGTTGATGGATTGCAGGTACAGGGCCTAGGTTACCATCATCTCTACTCCAGGTGGGAGGCACTAGAGGGCTTTATCTATTTGCCTGAAGTCACTCTGGCTAGTGGCTGGTAGAGCTGGCAACACCCACCCAGAAATCCACCTTCTAACACCTGCTGGACACCTGCAGAATGAGGAACCCATCCTGTGCTTGGATGGCCTCCCCTGCTAAGGAAGGCTGACCTGGAACCAGTCATCCATTGTGGTCTAGGGGTGAGCTGAGCTGAGCCATTCAGGCTTGGGGCTGACTGCAGGGCACACAGAGCCTGAGGTCCAGCCAGAGCCCAGAGCTGGGGTCCCCTGGCAATGGGCAATGGGTGCTTTCTACCCATTTCTCTCTCTGGGAGAGTCAGATCAAATGGGTGTCACAAGGCCAGGCCACCAGAGAGACATCAAGTGGCAAAGCTGCCAGTGAGGCCCTGGAGGCCCCAGCCTCTTCCAGCTCCCTAAGCTCCTGGGACAGATCTCCACCCTTCTGCACAGAGCAGGTGCCAATGAGTGTGGAGACATGGTGAACTGCAGTGCCCACCAGGGGCTGGCCAGCCTTGGAGCTCATGCAGCCGTCTCCCCACTCAGCCTTCCTTGCATTTCATCTGTGGCCTGCACCCTTCCTTGAGGCCTGTGTGGCAGGCACTGCTCTGTTTTTCAGGGCTGTTACTCACTCATAACCCCTGTTACCCAGAATGGGTCTGAGACCCAGGATGCACCCAGAAAGATGGAGCTGTGACCACATTCCAGAGTAAAAGCGACCCACTGTGGCTGGCTGTGATACAGTTCCCATATCCCCAAGGACTGCTCCCCCACTTATCCTGAAGCCCCTGGACTCAGCATAGAGCCAGGGGTGCTCACGCGTGTTGGACCCCTCCTGGCAGTGAGTGAGCAGGAAGAGCACTTTAACAGGTGAACTGACTGAGTCCTGGGGAAAGCTGTTGGTCCTGACTTCCTGGGCCAGGTAAGAGCCCAGCAAACAGCCCAGCTGAGCCTCAAACACCTCTACAGAGGGACCTGCAGGTCTGTGGGCAGCTCCTAAGTGCCCTGTGTCAGCAGCTGGACTGAAGCCCAAAGCCAGAGGAAGCCCTTTGAGCAGAACCGCTTTGCAGACAAGGAGGACAGACCTGGAGTTGCAGCCACACACGTGCAGAGGCCTGCCCTCCACCCTGGCTGTGTGCACCAGGCCCTCCTCTACCTGTGCCCTGCAGCCTCATGAGCCATGGGTGACTAAGGGACCTGAACAAACAATTGCTCCCAGCCCAAGAACAATGATACCAAACCTCTGCGCTCAGAAACCACCTCTGACACATTTCTCTGAAATCAGAAACTGGATGCTTTCTTTTTTCTTTCTTTTTTTTTTTTTTTTACTGATTCAGCAGATTGCAAAGTCCTTAAAGCTGTTACCTTCAAACTGCCCCAACCTGGATGCCCAGGCTCCATCCTGGTCACTCCCTGACAAGGGGAGAGAGACCCCTGAGCACCTGTTGTGCCCTGAGGGGAGCAAGCCTCCAGTTCTCAGTCAGGTACATACACACTGTCATTCATGAAGGAGAACAGCAAGAGAGCGACTGCATGAGGCTCTGGAGGAAAAGGCTGCAGCCACCAGAGATGTCCCTGTTTCTGTAACGTGGAAGAAATTTCCTGGTGGTCTGGCTGGACTCATTCTCAGGGCTGGGAGTATCCGTCTCGCTGCAGCTCACCTTGCAGTGGCAGGGCAGCACTCCAGCTGCTGAGGGCATCCCTCCCTCTTCCCCTCCATCCTTGTGCCTGTAACTCTTCCAGAAGTGCTGGCTTCCTGCCAGATGTGTGCAAGAAGCCAGCCCTGTGTGACCCTGGCCAGCACACATGCACCGCAGGTATGGGGGAGCACCTACCAACGCTAGTGATCTTCTGAGTGCTGAGGTCCTGCAGCAGGGCCTCGATGGCCGGATTGTGTCTGGAGTACAGCTCATATCGGTTAATACCGATGTGGAATTTGAGCCAGTTGGGATAGAAATCCACTGCTGCCTCCCCAGTGGGCAGGAATTCTGCACCTTCAGCACCTTCTGTGGCCTACAAAAAATGAAGACGGTTCAGAGTCAAGGAGGACAGCCAGATCCTGACGAGTGAGGGGAGCCTGTTCTGAGGCTGGGGTTTGTGACTTTGGGTTCAAAGCGCAGGTCTGTTGCTAATGGGCCCTGCTCAAAGAGGGGCCTGCAATGTCTGCACTTTCCTCCGAGGTTGTAGTTCTACCACCTAATAACACACCTGAAGGCCTGTAATTCCTGTTTACCCCCAAGAGACACCACAGACAGCTATAACTACAGCAAGACGAGACCCAGAGCGTCAGCGCTTATCTATCCTCTGTGTCTTCCCTGGGTCACCAAAAACATCCAGCATGAATGATGTCAGGAGGGTGTGTGTGGGCGGGGGGCTGTTAGTCCTTCCTGGGAGCAAAAGCCAGGGGGACCTCTTAACCACACTGCCTGAAAGTTACAGGCACACCCAGTCTACCAGAAACCTTCCCAGCCCTCTGCTTTTGTTCCAAGAACAGGGGCAGGAATGATGCAAAGGGCTAAATTTGATTTTAATGAGGGCAGTTTTAGGTGGGGAGTGAGGGATGAGACAGCCACTCACTCCAGCCAAGGCTTGTAAGGGGGACCTGCTGCCCACACGGCCTGTCCTTATTTCCGTGGTCACAGGACAGTCTGGAGGAAGAACAGCCCCTCCGTCTGCCTGCTGGGCTGGAGGGAAAAGAGGAACTTTCTTAACAGATTCCCTGACGGGCGAGGCTCTTTCTGTCCCTGTTCTGTCCTGTGATGGACATGAAGGGTCCCAGGAGCCACATCCTGGCTCCTCGCCCTGGGCCACCCCTTCCCCCAAGTCTAGGGCCACTGCTCTGACCCAAGTTTCTGGGCATTTCCTTGAATCTGGCCAGCAGAGCTCAGAGGTCACCAAACAGCTCACACGTGCAGGCACAAAGCAGATGGTCTGGTCGGATTTCAGGGAAGAAAGGGTTTCCAGGGATGTTTTAGAAGCCTGCCCTTCCCTTGGCTGCTAGAAACCTTTGCAGGTAGTTTTTGTTCCGGCCTTGCTGGTAGTTAATATTTTACTGATCTCCAAAAGCATCTGCTCATTTGGATCAGGGTGGCAGGGTCTTGGAGGAAGGGCTCCAGGCAGGGCAATTGAGAAGATGTTCCTGCCCCCGGCCCCTTCACATCCTTGCCTCTGTATTGCATCTCCTTGCTGCTCACACACTGCTCTGCTGATCCGGTCCTTAGTGACTGGATTTTAAAGACTCTCAGACACATTCAGGCCTTCTCCAGGGGTCCAAGTATCTGAAATCCAGCAGCCCAGCCCCTTTCCTGAGAAAGGCAGCTTCTACTCCCTCACTCCTGGCTCTCCATCTCCTTCATTCATTGCCTGACTGGGCTTCCCAGGCTAGGTCTGGCCAGAGTTCTTCCTTGTAAGTGGAGCTAGGTCCCCTGGCTCCTGATGTCCACCAGGCCTCCCATACCAGGGCACATACCAGCTGCCCTTCTCAGCTAGAAGGCATTGTGGAGACAAAAGCATTGCCCAGAGCAAGAGGAGCATCTGCCCTGCCCACTGTACACCCCTACTTGGCCTCTTCCAAGGGGTCCCCAAAGCTGTGTACACAATGCCTGGGTGTGAAAGAGCAGTTTCCTGGGGAAGCACCTTTTTTCTGGAAGGGCAGCTCTGCTCTTTTGGGGTCAGACCTGCCAACTCCACACTAGCAACCCCTAGTCCCCACTCACCAGTCAGGGCTTTCTGCTGCCTTGGGGTTGAACCTGATGTCGCTGTTCACATTAAACAGGACGTCGTCTTCGGTCAGGGGTGGGACAACCCCCTGGTACAGCGGATGCTCAAACAGCCGGGCCAAGAGCGAGCCTTCCCCGCTGGGGCCAGGGGACAGCGGGGGCCGTCTAGGCCCGGGGTCCCTCAGCAGCGGCCGGTGCGCAGGGTCGCGGGGTCGCGGGGGGCCGGGCTCCTGACCCCGGGGGGCGCGCTCGGCCACCTCGGCTGCGGGTGGCAGTTTCTCCAGTGAGTGGGACGTGAGATTGGAGGCTGGGTCCGAGCTGAAGTCCTGCAGTATGCGCAGCGTGTGCTTGTTGGGCCAGCCCGCGTCGCCGGCGGCCGCCGGGGGCTCCCCGGGGCGGTTCCGCGCCTGGGCCCAGCCGGGCGCCGCCGCTTCGGCCACGGGCTGAGCGCACGAGCAGCCGGGCTCCCCGGAGGGTCGCGCGGTGTGCCGCTCCAGCTTGGGCAGCAGGTCCAGCACGATGTGCAGCGCACAGGCCAGCAGGAACACCATCAGGATGAGCACGCGGAACCGGCGCACCAGGATCATCTTCATGGCCGTGCCGACAAGCGGGGTCCGGGACTCTGGGCGCCCTCCGGGAGCGCGCTCCGCCCGCGTCCCTCAGTCAGAGCTCGGCACGAACGCGTCGCCGCCTCTCGGGTCAAGGTCCATTCGGCACGGGTGCAGCTACTAGCTCCGGGGCTGTCCCCGGTCGCGGACGACGTGGAAGGCACCCGCCGCCAAAGCATCGGCTCTCCGGTCCATTTGGGGGCCCTTGCCTCTCGGCCTCTTTGGGACTGCCAGCAGCCCTCGTCCGCGGAGCTGCGGGCGCGGGTAGCAGGGGGCGCAGCCTGCACTCATCAGGCGCTCAGGACCAGGACACAGCTGTCCATCCCGGCCGGGTCCGTTCCACCGCACGGTCCTCCCGCTGGGGCACGCTGCGCGCTGGGCGCGGGAACGCGCGGCCCCTCGCGCTGGGCTGGGTTCGGTCAGGCTGCGGCCCGGACAGCCGGCGAGGGGAAGGGGCGCGCGGGACGGCGGCGGGGCCGGGCAGGTGCAGCGGCTGTCCCGGAGCGCAGCGACCGCTCGGCCGAGCTCCCGGAGCCCCGCGCCCCGCAGGCTGATATCCGAGTGCCGCGGAGCCGCCCCCCGCGTCAGCGCCCGCAGATTGGCGGAGCCACAGCCCCGCGAGGCCCGGCGGGGCCCGGCCGCCCGCTCCCTCTCCGCTTTCTCCTCCCCTTGGCCGCGCCCTGCGATGCCGCCGCCGCCGCTGGGCCGCCGAGGACGCGGCGCCTCCTCCGCGCTTTGCAGAGGCCGAGAGGCCCGGCTCGGAGGCGGCAGCCCGGGCGCCGGCCGCGGCTCTGCCCAGCGAGTTCTGGGCCTGGCCGTCTCTCCGGGACCTCCGGCGCCACCGCCAGCTGCAGCCTCGCGGCTCCTCCCAGATGGCCGTGGCCAGAAGCAGGCCAAGTCCCTCCCAGGCCGCTGGGCGTCTGCGCCGCCGGACCAGCTCCCGCGGGGCGGCGACCTTGCGCCCCGCGCTTGGGTCCAGGCGCCGTTGCCCGCGAGGAGGAGGACCAGGTGGGGACGGTGCCACGCCGCGCAGAGGACGCGGAACGCGTCCGCGGGGAAGCCTGGACCTGTGGCGGCCGCCTACCCAGCCCGGCCCTCCCCGCCCCGAGGGACCACGCCTGCGCCTTAACCCTGGCTGCGCCGCGCCCAGCTGGGCTCCGAGTCGCGGGGGTGCGAGAAGCAGCACCCGGGAACAGCTGTGCGCATCATTCTGCCTCTCTGCCCCTTGTTCCCACCCCAGGCTCGAAATCGGGGCGCACACCCAGGGGAGGGAGCGCTGCTTCTACAACTTGGCCACTTCTGTCGCTATAGGGCTTCTGGATCTCTAGACCCCCACCCCCTGCAAAGGAAATAGGAATCAATGTGCATGTCTGCCTAAAATCATAGGAAGGTAAGTAGAGGAGGGTCACACACGGATCAGCCCATGCACCTGCAAATGTCCAAAGCAGGTCCAGGAGGGTCCTGGCCTAGTAGCCACTCTAGCAGAATAGAGAAAAAGGGGATTGTGTGGGGTGGTCCCAGGGTGGGGAGCCATTTCTTTGTCCCTCACTCCCTTTGCTGTGTTACCTGGACCTCTTTCTGCCCTCTCTGGGTTTTAAGCACATTGGGCACCTAACTCTTGAATATTTACCACTGACTGCTCTTGGCCCCATGGGGATATTCAGTAGACACCTACAAGCTACATGCTGAACAATGGAGAGGGTACCAGCCCAGCTGGTCAGTGGACACGTCTCTTAGGCCATTTGGAAGGGTGAAAGGGCCCACTTCAGCTGTCCTAGAGCAGGAGCTGTAGTGATTAGAGAACAGGACTTGAGGGTGAAGGTGGTCTGGAGATGGAAACCTGGGCAGTCACAGCTCACACTGGAAATGGAGCCAGTCCGCCCTCCCTTCCAGGCACACTGGCAGGTTCCAGAAAGGCCAAGTTAGCCCTAAGGTGGGGGGTGAGAGGGGAGTCCCCCTCCCAGGCCTGGGGTCAACAGGGACAGGTGACCTGTGGCAGGGGGAGATGGGGTCTAAGCCCACATCTCCCCCAGGAAGATGCCAGCCAGCACCTTCCTGCTCATTCATCCTTTGGTCTCTGGGTTCTGAATAGCAGAGCTATGGTCAGTGTCCTCAGGACAGTTGTGGAGTGGCCTGACCTGAATTATGGGGGGCATAGGTTTATAGGGGGGGGCTCCTTGGGATCCCCTGGGATCTCATGATGTCACGGATGCTCCCAACCACCACTGGATGGTAGGTCACTCCCTCCACCCTAGAAAACCATTGCCTGGTAACCAGGTCATGGAGCCCCTTCCTCCCTGCCCCACTCTCTATTTTTCCAGCAACCTCATCACTGTTGGATGACACCATTTTATCTTCTGTTCTCATTGCTCTTCCTCTGTCCCAGATGCATGTACTCCCTCAAGAAGGGGTTTCAGGTGAGGCCTTGCTCACAGTCCACCTGGGGGACAGGATGTAGAACAAGTGCCCAGGGAAGGAAACACAGCCAATCTATCGTGGGGTCAGGTGCCACCAGGCCAAGGTGACAACTGCAACCAAGGTCTCCAAGGACAGAGCACACCCCACAGAGGAAAGAATGCAACATACATTCCTTTTACTCTGACCTCAGGAGTGATTTGATGTGATTTAGTCCATTCATGGAATCACAGAGAGCAAAGACAGAGGTAGAAACAGACACACAGACTCATAGTTAGAAACAGACATGCAGACACATAGGTAGATAAACGCATACAGACACATAAACACAGAGGTAGATACAGACACACAGGTAAATACAGACAGAGGTAGAAATGGACACACAGGCACGGGCACACATACACAAAAACGAAGGTATAGACACACAAACATAGACATAAAGTGGTACACACAGATATGAGCACACATGCACAGAAGTACACACAGACCTGTACACTCACACACATAGATACACAGAAACACAGACATGCATAGGGACACATGACACACAGACACACAAAGGGCCTGAGCCTCATGAGCCTCTGCCTTCTTGTTCTCTGGGCAGAGGCCCCACCGGGGCAGGATAGGCTTGCAGGGTAGTGGACACCTGTTGACCACATGTAGCCCCATCAGAAACCAGGGAATGGCAGGGAATGGTTTTGCCTTTTTTATCCTCCTAAGACTTGTGTTCTAATAAAGCATCATAAGACACGTCAGGGGTTCCTGTGAGGACCTTGCTCCTTTCTCTCGGTGGCCGGGAAGACCCAAAGGTGACATCTAGTGGAAATTTGTTAACAAGGGACTATGCATGCCTCTTGAGGGTCTGTGGATTGTCCAGGTGGGGGTTGAAGTGCAAAAGTCCTGAGGCAGAGCGTGAGGCACTCAGGAGAGAGAGGAGGCTGGAGAGGCTGGAGCTGAGTGGGGAGCTTTGAGTGAACACGTCCAGTGAGAGCAGGGCAGGGGCCATTCGAGGGGCAAGGAGGCCCTCGAGAGGTCTGCAGGTGACCGTCAGACTGTGAACTATGTCCTGTGTGTGATGGGCAGGGGGAGGGTGGGGACAGGAAGGCGTACCAAGCTGCTGATCTTGCTTGGGTCACACTGGGGGAAGGGTGGGGTGATGAGGGAGCCCCACCACAGGGCTGGGAGGAGCTGGCTTACCTGGAGGGCAGGCTTGGGTGCTGGAGCCAGGAACAGACTCATGAAGAGGACCACTGGCCTAGCAGGTACAGTGACTTATGCTTGGGGAATGCACCGGGAGGCCCCAGAGCCCAGAGCATCCCAGAAGCAGTGTGGGTACCCTGGGACGCAGATGACAGACCAGACACCGGTGAGAGATGAGGTTCTAACCCGCATGGCCATGATGTGGCTGGGAGGCAGTCGGAAGGGTTCTGTGACGTAGGGAGAAGTAACTTCCCTCACCCTTTCTGGCTCTACTGTGAGGCCCTGTGATGAGGCCAACAGAGAGGAGAGGGTGTTTAAAAACAGGTGTCTCGGGCCCAGCCACTCGGTGAGGATATATGGCTGCTTCCAGTCATAAATATCATTGTCCATGAAGCAAGCACAGAGGGTGCGGGAGGCCTGGGAAGGGCTGGTGCGGATCTTGCATGCATTCTCCAGACACGAGGCCAGAGAAGTCTGGTCTCTTCCTGCAGAAGCCATTCCTGCGTGGATGGTCTCCTATGCAAGCAACTCTGTTGGCTTTGGGGGCTTTTCTAGTGGCTCCCGATTCTCAATTTAACTTCTCCAAATAATCTGTGTGCCAAGGACACACATTTGGGGACATATTCTGATCTCTTGCAGTCACATGTGGGTACATGGTCTCCTACAGTCTCATTTAGGGGCATATTCTGATCTCCAGCATGTGAAAGGGAGCAGAGAAACAGGTAGAGGCTGGGGGAAAAGGCGGGATGGATCCCACCATTCCTGGAAGGTATGCAGGAGCCTGCACACTGCGCTTGGCCACAGGGGCTCTCAGGGGTCCCGAGGACACTCAAAGGGGACTCCTGTCTCCCCGCATTTTACTGTCAACTTGTGCCAAGGAGACCTGCCTAGGGAGACCCAAGTTTGGTGGGCTCAGCAGCCAAGAGGGTGACTGGGCTGTAGGAGTGTCATGCAGGGCTGGCAGGGTCCCCACAAGACAAGTGTGGCTGGACCAGAGACACCTCAGGGTTCCCTGTGAGCCAGGGAGGGAGGAGGAACTTCAGGCAGAGACGGGCTTGGCACACGAGCAGTGTGGGCCTTGGAGGGTTGGTCTCTGTGGACCGCTGGGGACAGGGGTGACTGAGAAGGTGTCTACTCAGTTCAGCCCCCATCAGTCCATTGCTTTTTTGAGTCCTGACTGAAGTAGGAGTTCTCAGAGGAACACCTGGTGTCCTAAGACCCTGGGCCCTTGAAGTCATGGCTAGCCTGGCTGAGCAGCTGCCATGGCCTCAAACAAAGCTGCTGGCAGGTGGCAGAGGTGGGACTGGAGTCTCAGGCAGAGCAGCGAGTGAGAACAAGAGAAGGAACCATGCATGGATGGCTGTGCCCAGGGATAACGAGCAGAGCTGAAGGAACTGATGCGTGGTTGCCTGCAACATGGGGAAGAGACTTCGGGCTGTGGAGTGTGGGAACAGAGGATCTGGAGGAGAAGTTTCCAGAATT